GTAATTTTAATAACATTAACCCCTTTTGTCCTCTGGTTTTAGAAATGTTCTTTAACTCTTCCATAAAGTGAGGAAAATAGGGAAAAATGTCAACCATCTGCACCAGTAAATAATAACTATTAATATTACATATTTTCATTAATTTAAAAAAAATAATAAAACCTATTGGAGGTGCAAGGCAGGAGCATGTGGGTGGCTTCACAGACCTCAGCCTCCTCCCAGTGCACACTTGAACCACACACACAAAGGGAAAAAAGAGGCTGATGGTAACCAGCCATAACAAAAATATATTCTTTGTATTCTATCATCCCTCAGGTTCATCTTGCATGTTTGCTTTAAACCACAAACAGCTACTGCACAGTTCTTATGTGTTCCAAGGAAAATTGTCTTTTATGCTAAGAAAGATTCAAAAAAATTGTTTTCAGTACAAAACAGTCCTGTTAAGAGAAAATAATTTTTTTGCTCCCAAAATACTACAAGGTGTCTCTAGTGTATGTCTAGTGTACTCTGTGAGAGGGTTGAATTCAAGTCTGAGTTGTCGGTGCTGAGTCCCAGGTCCGTGGCGCTTGCACCATGGAGGTTTGCCATGCCTGGATTGCTAGTGAGCTGAGAAAGCATCGAATTCTGGTCCGGGCTGGCAAAGTGCCCTTGTTCCATGGGGTTGGCCTGGGCAGCTACCAGTCCCGGATGTGGAGAACTGGTCTGCGGGGAAACGTGGTGTGGAGAAGGCTGAGGTTGCATCCTTGGGGAAGGGCTGGAGTGGGGGGGCTGAGACTGTGGCCGTGGAGAATGGACAGGCTGGGGAGAACGCACTTGATTGGAGAGAGAAGAAGGGATCTGCTGGCCTTGTAGGTGTGGGGACTGAGCCTGATTCGGGAGCATATGCTGTTGGGGGCTCATGGGGTTGGGCTGAGCAGGAGACCCCATCTGTTGCTGAAGGAGTCGCTGCTGATAGACCTGCAGACTGGCTCCTGCCTCCGGTCCCAGAGCCTGGGGGAGCTGGCCCATTGGTCCCATGTTCCCTTGTTGCATCTGCTGCATGTGATGCTGCATCCGCTGCTGCTGTTGCTGCTGCTGCTGTGGGGGGTAGCCAACCCCTTGGGGTTGCTGAAACTGGTTATGGTTGGCCATCCCAGGGCCAATGCCTGGCCCTGCACCCTGCTGCTGCTGCTGCTGCATCATCTGCTGTCGTCTCAAGATGTCTCGGAACTGTGAAGGCATGGCGTTGTGATTCATGTTCACCTGCTGAGCCTGGGGGCTCATCCCTCCCACGGGCGGCTGCAGTTGCTGCTGTGGCTGCTGCTGAGGAAGGCCGGCCCTCTGGACACCCGCCTGCATGGCATTCATGTTCTGCATGGCTGGATTGGAGTGGACCCCCTGCTGACCTGGCATGGCAGGGGGCTGGAGCCCTGGCTGGCCCTGGGGCATGCCAGGCTGCCCAGGGAGGGACTGTGGATTAGAGTTGGCATACTTGGCAGCCCGCTGCTTGATGAATGCAGCCAACAGCTGGGGGTTGGCGTGAAGGATACTAAGCACCTGTTGCTGCTGTAGGGGAGAGCTGGGAGACCTGAGAGTCCGCAAAAGGTTTTGTAAGGCTTGTTGAGACACAGTGCCTGGTTTGAGAGGGCTCACACCTACCTGGCCCAGTCCTGGTTGGGGAGCCATGTTCAAGGGCTGACCATGTTGGGCCACTGACATCATGGCTGGCCTGGGCATCCCGGTCTGTAGTTGCTGGGGCTGAGGCAATCCTCCTTGGGCCCACGGTGGCTGTTGTTGCATCCCGGTGGGTCCCATCCCTGGCTCCAAATGCCCACCGGGACCTCTGGCCATGGGAGGTGGGTTCATACCTATGGGGGCCATTGGAGCCATCTGAGGCATCTGGTGCTGGATCGGCCTTTGAAAAATTTGCACGTGGGCCATCTGGCGCTGCGTCTCAGCCGCCCTCTGAATCTGCATTGCCATTTCCACTGCTGCAGGTGGGGGCCCTGGAAGGGGTGGCTGAGCGGTCTGAGGAGGGGTTGGAGGGGTCACCTGGCCTGCTGCCTTACCCTGGGACACAGGGCCAGCAGCCTGAGTCCTGGGCAAGTAGGGCGGCATGCTGTTGGGAGGTGTGGGCTGGGGCTGAGGAGGGGGTGGGGGCTGAGGCGTCTGTGGGGTGGTGGGCTGCTGGCTGGTTGGCGTGGTCGGAGTGGCAGGAGTGGGGGAGGGCAGGCCCTGTTGCTGCCCCACCACACCGGTCCGCTGCATGCTGGCCATCCTCCTTCGGAGCATCTGTGCCTGCTGTAGCCGGTGCTGCAGCTGCTGCTGCCGGAGCTTTTGCTTGATGTTCAGGCAGAATGGGACAGGGCACTTGTTCTCCTGGCAGTGCTTGGCATGGTAGCAGCAGAGGGCAATGAGCTGCTTGCAGATGGGGCACCCTCCATTGGTTTTCCGTTTGCAACCCTTGGTGTGTTGTACAACCCGCTTCATCTTCTGGCAGGAGGGCAGGGAGCAGTTGGCATTTCGGCACTGGCAGGCATGGACCAGGGACTGGATGCAGCGTTGGATGCTCAGGCGGCGAGAGTCTCCTGGGCTCTGGGTAGCTGCAGCCTGCTGGCTGTTGCTTTCGTCATCCAAGCCAAGACCTAGTTTCTCCATTTTGTGGTCATGGTTTTTAGTGTTATAGCAGGTGATACACAAATCGTAATCCTGGGGGAAAAGAACACAAGTGCAGGTCAACTCTCCAAGACTGAAGTCATGCAAAAGCACTTTACATATTCTGCTTGGGCTCATAAAGCCCCTTTCTGGAGAAAACTCTTCAGTCCACCACTCCCGGACGAGGCCGGGCTCCTCCCACCTCCTTCTATTACTTGCCACTGGCCCTCGAAAACCTCCAGTGCCCTGTCATCCGCACCATCTGGGCCTACCTCACACACGGTGCAGTGCCAGCGGGTCTCCACGTGGTGCTTGCACTCGTTGCAGGTGTAGACGAAGCGGTCCTGGCTCTGGGTGTGCAGCTCCACCAGCATGCACATGGTAGACCACTGGGCTCTTCGGAGGGATGAGAACTCCAGGTGCTTGTCCCTTGCGAGGGTGAGAAAGGCATCCCGCCCATCCATCAGATCGCAGGGGATGAGGGGGTCAGGATCAATGATGGGTGGCAGGGAGTTGGCGGCAGGGCCAGCGATGAGACGGATCACAAAGAAAACCTGCAAAACAGAAAATCTCATCTGTCTCTGGAACGAAAACACCTCAAAGCACTGGACCAACCGCAGCTGGTGGGCGAGTCAGACGGGATGCCTGTGAGGCTGATGAACACTGAGTTAGTTTCACAACCACACCATGAGGATAAGTGATGTAGGGCTCATTCCTGTTTCACACATCGCTGGTCTCCTCTCTGAGTCTGTCTATACAATGGGCCTAAAATCTACATCTTAGCTTTTCTACCTCATTCTATAATTCCTTCAAAATAAGAATGGTTCAAGTCAGGTGCAGCACATGTCCAGTGAACATTCTTCTTCAAACAAGTGTACTTTGAGATGCAATCCATGGCTTCATCTGAATCTAATCACAAGGAAACAAAGATAAATAGAAACTGAGTGACATTCTACAAAACAATCGGCCTGCACTCTTCAAGAAAATGCCCATGGCACAAAAGAAAATAAGGCTGGGCACTGAGTCACGGCAATTCATGCGATCCTTTAGTACAGTATGTAAGGACTAGACATTAGACGGTGGACACTGGGTTGTTTCCTGAGTGTGAAACCACAGTTTGGCTATGCAGAGAATGTCTTCTTCCTTAAAGAGTACCAGCTGAAATAGAGATAAAGAAAATATAGCAAAATGTTAACTGGTGAC